TGAATTTACTAATTTAGCTTTTCTACATATGTATTGACTATTGATGACTGCATCTTTTTGTTGATTTTGATATATTGTAGGCAGAATCTGATATCGAGCAAGATCCAGTTAATTTCAGGAATGAAACTTCTCTACCCATTTTGTGTGTTGAGGATGGGATGGTGATCTTAAAGTTTTCTGAAATCTTCGGCATCCATGAACCTTTGAGGAAAACAGAGAGAAAGGACCAGCATAGACATTCTATAAGTAAAGGTATCTCAGTCTCAAGCTTGCATGATGTTTTGCAAACTGTTCCCACAGCAGGGATACATTAATGTTTTACCTTTTATGGCATTTGACAATAAAGATAGACTTACAAATGAAGACATTGTTTTTGCCTGCAATAAAGGTTTACACACAGAAATTTTTCTGCAAGCTATAGAAGCCTGCATCTATGTGATATTCACTTGATGTTTCATTGTTTTTAGTATCATCATTTTATTTTGGCATTTATGAGCTTTCTTTTTTTTTCGAAAACCTTTGAAATTGCTTCAGTTTGTTATGTTTCTGACCCTAGTTTGATGGAGTTTTGATGTATTGTGATCTGCTTGAGTTACTATTTTTCTTCTAACAATTTTAGTTCTGGCTTATATTAATTGGTTTCTTTGAAGGCAATGTATGACGTTTCCTATGTTTTATTTTATGCGGATGGTGATCTTTTTATTCTTTGCTTGGTTAAATGCATGTTTTAGCTGCGGCTAAATGCACGATTTTAGTTTTGGTTTGTGTTAATTAGTTAATTTTAAGGCAATATATGACATTTCCTATATTTTATTTTATGTGGATGGTGGTTTTTTATTCGTTGCTTGATTAAATACATGATTTATTCAATGCTTCTAGATAGGGTCAAAGTTGCAGACTCTGTTGATGTTGAAGAGGATGAGGAGGTATTTCTGAGGAGCTCTTGTCATGATTTCTCTAGGATTAAATATCCTATCTCAACTGTCAGCGAAGTGGATGTTGATATTCACCATGCAACCTCTGGTGTTGAAGAACAAATGAAAGACTCGTGTCTTTTTGCACAACCAATGAAGGATGATGATTTTACGATGGATGTCTTTGCATGCCAATGGTCCTCTAGGAGTCCTAACGTCTATCCTCTTGATCAGCAAGACTGGGAAGATGCAATTGTTTGGGGAAATTCACCCACAGCTAGTCATGGGTGCTCAGAGAGTTGTGTGATATCTGAACTTAGTGCAGGAATTAATACTGACGCTGAAGTAGAAGATAGACATGCACATAAAACCATTGAGTGTGACAATAAGGATAATCATCTGCTTATTGATCCGGTTTTAGTCGAGCCATTTGGTTCAAAAAAAGAAGTTTCAGAATCAACATGCCGTTCCTCATATTGTGATTATCACCCTCAGTTGCTGAGGTTAGAGTCCCTCCATGAAAAGAATGATGTGCCTTCTGTAGAAATGGACAAGGAGAATCAAACTGAAGGAAGCCGCAGAGGTGACATAATGCATCGCTTTAATAAACTTTCCTTGCAGAATAAGGACTTGTTAGATGGATCTTGGCTGGACCAAGTTATCTGGGACCCTGATGATGCTATTCCGAAGCCAAAGCTCATTCTTGATCTTCAAGATGAGCAAATGCTCTTTGAAATTTTTGATCACAAGGATAGTGAACATATTTGCTCTCATGCTGGTGCTATGGTGATGATGCGCCCGCCAAGTTATTATCTAGGAGATTCTTTTGATCTTCATAATCAGGGAATGCCGTCTGTTGGTCGCTTCAACATTTCTAATGACAAATATTATTCTAACAGGAAAACCTCCCAGCAGGCAAAATCTCATACAAAAAAACGATCTTTCCATGGGATTAAGGTCATGCATTCAATTCCTGCTTTGAAACTACAAACTATGAAGCCCAAGTTGAGCAAGTAATCATTAATACTCTTCTTTTCTCTGTTATTTCTTGTGCAAAACCCTCTATGTATCGTAAAGCCAACATGTTTGCACACGTGGGCGGACAATGCAAATACTTGGAACATATTTGGTAGTAAAACAAAGTCAGAGAGCTTTTCCCCCTTATTTCATGGAGGGAAAACTTTTTTTTTGGGGGGGCTAAATGTGAAGTAAAAGCTAAGAACATGTTAGATATCAGTAATATAAAGTACCATGTAGTATGTACAAATACTTAATTTAGACTTCGAGTTTTTCTTCTCATATAAACCTTTCTCTAATTTTATAAGGATTTAAGACATGTTTCCTTTTCAATTTAACATATATTTGCACATGCCCTGCATAAAATCTTCTAAAGTCAAAATTTCCTTATAGATTTAGTTATATGTTGTTACTGTTCAAGTAAATGTATGTTTGTATTTTGCATGTCTGAAAATATAGTTTGTGAAACTCCTGTATTGCACAAGACAGCTGCTACACACCTGCACATAAAGGGGTATCCTTGAAATTTATATAACATTGATATCATCGAAATTCCATATTTATGATCATGATAATGGCCTCCATGTTCTGCTTTTCCTTGTCTAAATGCATTGTCAATTAGGCAATTGTTGAGGTACTTAAAAGGCACCACATGTATGTTGATTGTCATTCACTATCTGCTGTTATCTTGTTGTTAAAGCTGTGAGGCGGTATTGAATTGGTTAGGCTAAATATAAAATTTAGAACAGGATGGAAGAGTTGTGAAAATGAAAAGGAGTGTTAGCCTTTTAGATCTATCATGTTCATGATTATAGCTCTCCGTCATCTAGATCTGAAAATGAAAAGGAGTGTTAGCCTTTTAGATCTATCATGTTCATGATTATACCTCTCCGTCATCTAGATCATCTGTCGGCTTTTCTTGTTAAAGTAGATTGGCTGTTGATCACACTTCTTGATTTGGCGGCATAATAGAGAGGAAAATCATCATTTATATTGGCTGCTAACATGATGTCAAACCATTTGAGCTGTTCCCAAAATTTCTTTCTATGCAAGTTGGTTGATGCTGAAGACAACTCGGAAGTCAGGAATGCTACCTTAGTTTTCTTACCCTTTTGACTTCTGCAACAGGGGAACCATATTGGCATGAAGAGTGAGAATCAAATTGATGCACAGAAACCATCTAGGACGTTTTGCTTTTCTACCAACATGATTAAAATTCATACATTTTACCAATGGCTAGAACTAATGAAGCCAGCTAACATTTTAGTAACTCACCTCGGTTCTGGTTTCTGACTGGTGGCTGTGCTGTTATGGGCCAAAATAGTTTCTTCATTGGAGTCTTATCACAATTTTATTTTGTATCACCTGCATAAAAAACCTGTTTACAGTCTAAGGAATTGGAAATTAATCTCTCACCAATGATTTGAAATCCTTTTTATATTGAATTGTTACCAGTAGTGATTTTTTATCACATACTGTTGGTAGTCATTAAGTTGATTTGATTATAAAAATTACAGCATGAATTTTGAATATGTAAAACATTTTCTTTTTTGCAAGTTCACTTAAAACAATTAGCATAGCTGATAAGTAGATCAAATGATTCTTCGAGAAATTTATCTTTATAATTTTAATACATTTCTTCGCTGATTATTGGTTTTTAATCTTTCTTCATCCACTCTTTGCAGCAAGGATATTGCCAATTTTCACAGACCTAAAGCATTGTGGTATCCTCATGATAATGAAGCTATGGCCAAGGCAAAAGGAATGCTTTGCACAAGTGGGCTCATAAAAATTATAATTATCAGTTTGGGTGGAGGAAAAGGGGTAAAGCTTCATATTAATGCAGATGAAACTTTGTCTACTATCAAATCGAAAGCATCAAAGAAACTAGGCAAGTCTTCACTTTCTTCATGCATAATTGCAGTTAAGCGTTGATTTTCCTAATTTTCCATTGTTTTATGATGGTTAAACCATATGTTGTGTCATGAATTCAATTTTTTTTTAGCTCAGCTACTTGTGTCTCATTGAATTTTTTGTTGATTGTAATTTCTAAATAATTTTAGTGACTTATGGATAAACCCCCAGCAAGAAACTTCCTCAATAATAATATTTAGCTTGTGACGCCTCCCACTACTATTTTACCCTTGACTAGCTGTTCAAGTTCCTTTGCTTTTATTGTTATTTGTTAGTTTTTTAATTCTTCCACCTTTGGTACTGAAATTGCTCCCAAATCGTTCACGCAGATTTCAAACCTTCAGAAAAGGTGAAGGTCTTTTATTCTGGAAAAGAGCTTAAGGATGACAAGTCCCTGGCACTCCAAAATGTACATCCAAATTCTGTGCTTCATCTTGTGCGCACAAAGGTTCATCTTTGGCCAAGGGCCCAAAAGTTGCCTGGTGAGAATAAGCCTCTGCGTCCGCCTGGGGCTTTTAAGAAGAAATCTGACTTATCTGTGAAAGATGGGCATGTTTTTCTGATGGAGTAAGTGAACCTATTGTTTTCATTGCTTCAGCCATTATTGTTATTGCAATTATATATTTATATATTATTAAAATTATTTGACCATTACATAAGATTGAGATTGGGTATATCGGAGACCACTCTCACAAATATTTAAGTAAAAAGCGTGTTAATATTTTGAAGAGATGGAGTTTTGTTGGGCCAACATTATCTGGAAACTTGTCTTCCTGGGCGCATGACACATACTGCTGGTTTTAACTTCTTTTTCTTTTTCGATGTCAGTCTTCATGCAAGCAAACTAATCAAGCAAATTGTAGTACCTTGGGCTCTGTGATTTAGGTCATGGTTTGAACATCAACATTACATATTCATGGCCCCTTATCTTGTTTTGTTGTTTGAAGGTACTGTGAAGAAAAACCTTTATTGCTTGGAAATGTTGGTATGGGGGCTAGATTGTGCACTTATTACCAAAAAATGGCACCTGGTGACCAAACTGCTTCAACGCTTCGAAATGGCAATGATGGCTTGGGGACTGTTCTCCCACTTGAGCCTTCCGATAAATCTCCTTTTCTTGGGGATGTGGGTCCTGGTTGCAGCCAATCTTGTCTTGAAACAAATATGTATCGTGCACCGCTATTTCCCCACAAGTCATCTTCCACAGATTATCTTTTAGTTCGCTCAGCAAAAGGGATGTTGTCACTTCGGCGCATTGATAAATTATATTCTGTTGGACAACAGGTAAGCCACTGCCATAATATACTTAACCGCTAATATATCCAGTGTCAGCTATGGGTTCTATTTATTTAAACTTGGAACTTTTATTGATAGTTGTGGTTACCCTAATAGCGTTGCATCACAATAAAATCATGTTTTCTTCACCTTTTCCTACGAGAAGGTCAACTTCGCTTGTAGTTTTTTTTAATTTACTTGTTAAATGAAACGAAACGGCATTATCCTTGTGTTCTATTTAAGTAAGAGAAAAAGTTGAACTTCTTTTTTCAAGTTTTTTATTAACATGCAATGTTGTTCACTATCAGAGTACAATCTTTAGGTGTATAACTGTTTGAAGAACCTTGTTACCTTTAGCTTACAGTAAATTTGCATTTAACAGTGAAATATCCACACATTTTTTTTGTGCAAACTAAAAGAATGGTAAGTTATTCTGAGCACCTTGAGTTTAGAATTAATCTTGTTTTGCCTGTACAAATTAATCAAATTTGACATGCAAGCATGTACTTATAGCTAGTTCGGGACTTATCATATAGCATTCTTCAGTCTACCTTTCTCAGTAGTAGAATATTTGGAGATTATCTCTCTCATCAGCAAACACACACAGAACACACAAACACGTTATTCACTTTAACTACTTTAAGTCCCAAGTATTTCATGGATTTAGCCATTTTTTTCTCAGCGTTGCTTGCAGAAATAGTTAGATATCCAAGTATTTGAGATTATCAAGTCAGGCACAGGCTCTGTCATGGCGAGGTTATTATCACTAGTGTTTTGGTTATGTTAAGCGATCTAAAACCTGTCCCGTTTATATCATTGAACTTTAAGAATTCCATTTGTCGTGCATGTCTGCAGCATTGTAGGGGAGCTGGTTGTCATTCCATGTTATATAACTTTCTAATACTAGTTGCGTGAATATCAATAAACAGATATCAAATTAACGGTTTGGTTATCTAACTTATGGAGTACAAACGGTCATCCAGTGAGAGGATTTAGAAACTTAGTCAATAGGATGATTGTGGTAGGTCCAGAAATGACTCAATATTTTCTTCACGAGTCTTTCCAATGATTCACTACTGAGCTTAATCAAGATTGAGAAGCTCCAAATAATGGACAAATTTCAGTCCCAATTTCAGGCTGTCATCATGGTTTTACCTTTTCTGTTGATAACATGCTTTAGGAGCTAAAAGACCCAATCTGCAGTACGCTTCCGAGCTGCTGTGTACTTGGAGTCTTTGTCTTATTCAAACAAGTCGCAACCATCCAAATTCAAAAGTCATTTTTTTGAACCACAACTTTATCTGAATAACGTTATAGTTGAGGCTTAAGTACTAAGTGCATTGGAATAACTTCAGATATTGATGACTTTATCTTGTTTATGCTACAAGGTAAATGACCTGGAAAATTGTTGTCATGCTTCAGTTTGTTGTCAAGATCTTTAAAGAATTAATTGCCTTGTAATGCAGGAACCTCACATGGAAGTATTGTCACCAGGATCAAAAAGCATTCAAACATATCTTCTGAACAGAATGTTAGTATATGTCTACCGAGAGTTTCGTGCCAATGAGAAACCAGATATCCTTCCTCTTATTCGGGCTGATGATTTGGCGTCAAAGTTTCCTGGTCTGACAGATGCTATTGTACGTAAACGATTGAAGCATTGTGCAGACTTAAGGGTAATGTTTAACTCTTGTTTCATGTTTACAGTTCGATTGTTAAATACCATTATTATTCTAAATGCTATGATGATTTCATTTGGGTGCTGCAAAAATCATCTAAATTTCATTATTTTTTTCACAACTATTACATCTTTATATTTTCTGCTACTAATATGCAAAATCTTTATGTGTCCAGAAGGGGAAAAATGGTATGTTAGTTTGGGTTAAAAGACATGATTTTCGTATTCCATTGGAGGATGAATTGCGAAGAATGTTGTCACCAGAGAACGTGAGTCCCTCAACTTATAATTGTTTAATACTCCCATAGTACTCCCCTTGTTATAGTGTTACCAACTTTTACATTGTGATGCCTCCTACTTCTTTAGTATCAATCATCGTTTTGCATTTATTTACCTTGCAATATTTGTAGCAGTGAAGTTTGAGAGCATGTAAGCTTCTCCATTTTGTGCTTATTCTAGGTAAAAGTTTCTAATAATTGTTTCCAAGGGTTCGATGCATTGAACATAGACAAGTTGTTGTAATAATCCTGGAATCAGGAAAGAGTTGTTAATTACTGTAAACATTCAAGCATATAATTGCTACTACTTTCAGTTTTTATGTGAATGCATCTATTATGAGATTCTGAGAGATGCTAATTTTATGGTCTCATTTGGAAATATCTGAGAAAATACAGCAGTCATATATATATCAACTTTCCTGGCTTTTTTCAGCTTGAGAGTAAGTTCTCTATGGTACCTTAGTAAAAAACAAAGAATAGCTTCCTAATCACTTTGCTACAGTCAAACATGTCACTCCATAGATATCTATGATCAAATTAAACATGTTAACTCAAATCTGTATGCATGGTGAAATATTTTTTTTCAAGTGTTTTAATCTGTACGAGTATTTGGTAGAAAATTAAACTCAAAATCTCCCATACGTAAATTTTTTACTAGGTTTGAAACATTCTAGAAAATTAAACTAAACAACTTGCTATTATGGTCCTATGGCCATCCATGTTTTGCCTACTGAACAGTGAACACAGCTAAAAGTCCCAAAACTCTTTGAATGTTTTTAGATACCCAATTATTTAAATCAAAGTTGAATGGAAAGATCTTTATTTCTGTTTTTCTTGTCATTGAATTTGACTGGAAGAATTTGCTTCCAAATCCTTCATGAGGAGCCAAGTCACACTGACATGTGATCAGAAAGTTGTATGCTATTAACAAGCTTAACGCCTTCTGTCTCTCTTGTGTGTATCTTTCTCTCACACCAACACACATGTGATGGGAAAATTATATAATTATTACAAGTTGACTTCTGTTGCTATGCCATAACATCTTTCATACTAATGTCAAAGAAGAGCATATTTTGACACAAGACTGATGGTTTGCTCCAATGACTGGTAAAGTTGAATATTTGCATAAACTAACATTTCGTCTGGAAATAACCATTCTAGCTGGTAAATCAATAATATCGCAGATCTGTTTAGCACTTTGTCTCTGGATTCTTTTTTTTCTTCTTTTTTTTCTTTGCTCAAGTTCTAGTTACAGTTGATTATTTTTTTCATCACCAGGTGTGCTCTTATGAAAGTATGCAAGCTGGCCTATACCGGCTCAAACGCTTAGGAATTAGCAGGCTTACCCATCCTGTTGGCCTTTCTTCTGCAATGAACCAGCTGCCTGATGAAGCTATTGCTCTAGCTGCTGCATCACATATTGAAAGGGAACTGCAGATAACACCATGGAATCTTACCAGCAATTTTGTCGCTTGTACAAACCAGGTATTTAGCTTCCTTCCTTTTATGACTGAAAAAACTTTCAAAGCTTTCTTTAGGTCTAGTTTTTCTCCAGTACTTAAACTGTGTTATTTATCAGGAAATTCTCCATCTTTTGCTCCAGAAAATTAAAAACACTTGAATTTAATAGATTCAATAACATTGTTGAGTTTATAAGTTTCAAATATTTATGTTGTCTTTTTGGACACAACATGTGAATCATAGGGAGCTCGAATGTCTACCCACCAAGGTTGCAAGCCTCAGCAGGTGTAATGACAATTTAAAAAAATTCAGATGAGATATAATAGTAAATTTTAATAAAATAGTCCTTGGATAAAGAAAGAAAACATAATGATATACCTTACCATATCTGCTGCATTTTTATTCATTTATCATGTAATGTACCATATGGTATATGTTATTGGTTTGCAATTAACATCACCCATCAACACATTGCATGCTTATAAAGTAAAATAGTTTCTGAACTATAGCCAACTCTCCCCTCCCTCTGTCATCGAGAGATAAAGGAAATATCTCCGTCCCTTCAAACTTTATAAAAAAATTCGACAGACATAAATCAAAAGTTAAACATATAAGAAAATAATCTATACATGATAACAAACTGTAACAATTTTAGGGCACAGCTGAAAATAATTGCTTATTGATTTAATTGGTTTATTTGAGAAATGACAACATATCCCGATGAAGACAAAGAAGAGGTTGAATTATCTAGCTTGTGACCTTCACTTTTGTTGTGACTGTTATGGAGAGAAACTGATTTGTGGCTTTGGCATTTTCAACGAAAAATTGTGTTAGAAACTGATTTGTGACTTTGGCATTTTCAACGAAAAATTGTGTTGAATGTAAACACCACATAGGTGGTGATGCTCCAAGAACTACTTGCTGAGATTATTATTATCAAACATGGGGCTAGTTGATATTGTTTGGAATTAAGTGCTGCATAATGCTGATTAATGCATGGAACAAAGTGCAGCACAATGCAGGGATCTGCTGTAGGCCACCTCCTGAATCCATGGCAAAGACTTTTAAAATAAGTTGGGGCAAACTTCACCCACATCACCTAGTAGAATGATCAATAACGAGGATGAAAAATCCCAAATAAGGCTATACTTAAGCGGTGCTCAAGAATATTACTATGATTATGGTATCTGAGAGGTCCTCCCTTGGGGAGGTACATTATGTCTCTATGAGATGTTTATGCTAACAGTATAAAGATATAGATTTAACATTCCTTGAGGGGGGAACAATGTTTGTGGGACTGCTCAGCTAGCGACCCATACCCTCAAGTAAAGGAGAAAGTTGTTGGAATGTTATATGTTAGATTGAAGGTGAAGATTAGGCATAGGAAAGTAACATTGCAAAGGAGAATTTGGTTTGGAAATTGGATGGGAGGGAATAAGAACTCAAAAAAAGCAATATTCAATGGTAATCATGTGCATTCGCCCGATTCGTAAAATAGAGGTAATGATGGATTTTCTTGGACCAATCACATGATATTTGGAGTTAGGATTTAACAGTGGAAGAGAGTGCGCAAAGGGATATCTAGAGCTCATGTAAGACTATAGCCACTAATATTTTCTTGCATATTGAATTGGCAAAGGTTAATTGTTCAAGAGCTTATAAACTTGTCTTATGTCCTAGAGTTATGCTAGCCCATAACTGTTAAAATGTTAATTTCTTAGTCTGTTTGCGGAATCTAGATCTCAAAATTTGAACTAGAGAACAAGTTCATACTTGCTAGAAAATGAAGATTCGATGTGGTTCAAGTTGGTGTCTACTTTGGTAAATTGTGAAGTTTTTGTTTAGCATCCTGCTTTTGTGGAGGTATTATCCGACGTCATATTTAACGATTTTTCAACTTAAAGTAACTAAGAAGATGTCAGTCAGCCATATACTTTGGGAGATTTAGAAAGTGACCATAGATTCTTAAGTTAGTCAGACCTATGCTACTGAGGCCTACTTCCTCTGTGGTTAAAGGGTAGGTGGGGTTCTTGGAACTCCTGGATTCAAGTTTACGCATGTTGTTTGTTCAAAAAGAAAATTTCAATCAGCACTAAAAATTGCGGTTAATAGCCATGATCACAAGATCACTTGCTCGGCACATGTTGGCTCCTACGTGGCTATAACGTGTTAATTTTCTAGGCTGTCGGAGAACTTGTATCACAAAAAACATTAATTGGGCCTAAGGTAGGTCATCTTCTAGTAACTATTGTGGTATCTGGTGCCATGCAAGCTGTCCCAGTTTGGTGAGTACGGAGATTTTCCTTGAAATGCTGCTATTGTGGTAAATTTTGACCATCATTTTTTTGGGTTGAGAAATAAGGATGGGATTTCAAAGAGAAACACCTGCCATCCTATTACCATTAAGCAGATGGTTGATTGCAAGTAAATGTCTATACTCCCAATGGTAAGAGTATAGACAATATCTGACTTTTGGCCATCATATATACGCTTCCCAATTTCTATAGCAACTGGCCTATACACCTATGTTGTTAAGTTGTTGATAGCATATATGAGTTGTATAATATAGTCATGAAAAATCCTAATCACAAGGACTAGTTATGCTTTATGTTGTCTTCTGACTAGAAGTATGGATTTCACATGTTATACAAATTGATTTTGTGTATTTGAATGTTCACTGATTTCCTAATCATTGCGTTACTGCCTATATACTTGTGTTTCTAAAATGATTGAGATACTAAATTTGTTAGTTTTAAATGTAGGATAAGGAGAATATTGAGCGATTGGAAATTACAGGTGTTGGTGATCCTTCTGGTCGTGGATTAGGATTTAGCTATGTTCGTGCGATTCCAAAGGCTCCCATTTCAAACACAACAATGAAGAAAAAGGCAGCTTCTGCAAAAGTAGGTTCAACAGTCACTGGCACAGATGCTGATCTGAGAAGATTGAGTATGGATGCTGCACGTGAGGTATAGTTCAATTCTTGATATACTAAATCTTAATGCTTGATGTGCCATCTTCATAATTTTACTGATGTGATCATTAGCATTTTTCTTCTTGCAAGTATTATTATCTTGACTATGTAAAGATTGTTTAAGTAATTTATGGATTAATATTTTTGAGATATTATTCCCTTAATTTATAATATTTCGGCATTAGTACTTCAAATCTTTGAAATTGTCTCCTCCAAATCCTGTAGGTGATTAGTCCTGTCAATATCCATGTCCAATTTTAACTAACCATAGTTGGGTTAGCATTCAACCCATGGTAGTGCATAACTTTTTAATCTGCAGACCACCAAACCCATCCCTAAAACCTCTCTATCAATCCATTTTGTAAGTATAAAAAGGGAAACTTGGGTTGGAGTTTTTGGTTTGGGTACAAATATGACTAAAAGAATCAAGGTTTTAAATGTCGGATGTCGGGTTCATGTCGGACGGTTGAAATACATGTCAGATAGCGAAAATCAGGATATATCGGGGGACATGGACTAAATATCGGATTGCCATATCGGGTGGTGCACATATGTATAATATCATGTCCTAAA